TATGTCAGTTTCGGTCCTCCGTACTGCAGAAGCCTGATAATCACCCATCCATTCAAATCAGGTGTGTTTGAGCAGAGAAAAAAATAAAACATGCAGGGCTGCGGCCTTCCAGGACCAGGATTGCCCACCCCTGGTCTAAAGTATGAACTGATGATGTAATTTGGAGTCTGTGTAACACCATAGCAGAGCATGCATGACATCATCATTTATATCTGTTTCTCACATAAACAGAGAGAGAAACTTTATAACAAAACCTTACTTTTAGTTTTCAGTAGTTCTGTGTTTACGTGAGGTCAGTTGTACTTGTAGTACTTTACAGTGATTATTGGGAGTTGTGTTTTAACGCTGTCTTTACACTCAAAATGCCTTGTTGTTGTGTTATTGTTGTATTATTCTGTCAGAGCAAGAAATAAAAACACTTATTTGAATAGATTCAGAGTTAAGTCAATGGCACTGGGACAAAGAGACTCACTTACAGACATGGGAAATTTCTAGACCTGAAGAAAGACTTGGACTCCATACATCACATTTTAATGAATAAAATTGAATGTTTTGACAATGTGGGGTAATGTGTTGAACTGGCTGAAGAGTTATATTTGTGACAGGAAGCAGTTTGTGAAAATGACTGTTCTTCATGTTTGGACATTGCTTGTGACGTCCCCCAGGGGTCAGTGTTGTGTTGTAAGTTTAATTTGTATAATAAAGGGCCAATATTATGTTTCTCAGGCATATATTTAAATACTATACCATAATAAAGTATCTATGTCACCTTTAGTTGTTATTAAAATGTGTTTTTTATGTTTAAATAAAAAAATTAACTTATCTTCTCATCACTTCCTCTTCTAAACTCCTCGAAATTGGCCTCTGTCTCTTTAAGAACCACCTTCCGCTTCTGTCCCACCCATTTCAGTGCAGGGGGGTGGTGCTATGATGTAGTTTACTTGGCATCTGAAAATACATTTCCTCAAAGGTATTTTTAATCTMAAAAGAGCTTCACTGAGTGAGAAGTGTTAGGAGCTCAGCAAACAGTTAGGTTTCACTTTCAGTTTCACCTGAGAGCCTGCAGTCATGGGTGGGGTGTGTGCGTGTGTGTGTGTGTG